GTGAAACTATATATTTCTTGCTTGAGAAAAAATAGTGTCAATTTAATCATTAAAATTCATGAATACAGTAGATGATAAAATAGTTATCACGCAACAATCAATATTGTATCAGTTGCAAAAGCTTAACGATTTCTTCGAAGATTTGATGAATCAAATTTAGTTTTAAACCACAAAAGTTTAATTAACTTTAATTTATTTTGCTCATAAAATTCAAGGATAAAATTGGATTGGATTTGAGATGATTCGAGATGAGCTTTCAAACAATTTTAAACAGAAGTTTTGACTAACATCGCTGAATGTTCTTTACACGTCTGTCACGCGTGTAAACATTGATTTTCGAACGAAGAAAGTATTCATACTCGCTTAATACTTGTCGAGAAAGAGATACAATCAATTTTAATCTTGCCTTGTCCGCCTTTTCCATTACAATCATCGATCATACTTTCATTAATGAATAATAGCTGTAAATAGCAAATTCTCCCGTTGTGTCAACATATAATGTAACTCCTATGATCACTCTTGACCAGACAAGTTTCGCTGTTTGACGAATTATTGTAGGCGAGTGTGCTTTCTCGATGCTCGCGATAGTTATACGAGTATTATATTTTCGCAGCGCGAGTGTGCCATCGACATGATTACAGTTTCTAAACGCCTCGAGATTCAATCGGGCATGCATTTATCCGCTATTAAGTTTTGAAAAATTATTTCGCGTCTCCGCGCCAAGGATTGGCGCTCTTAGTCGATAATATTCTTGTACAAATAAGAGGTAGTAAGTGTGTGTGTGTGTGTGTGTGTGTGTGTGTGTGTGAAATGTTTTGTCAGAATGACGGATGGAGAGTCGGAAATTATTTTTCCTTCGGCTAAGCGCTCCTTATCGAGACGGTTAAACGAGGGATGTAATGTTAGAAAGGATCTGTACGTCCGAGAGCACTCCTGCGCATTTTTACGCGTCTTACGAGAAAAGGCTACTTAGAAAGCCGCTAAGTCGATAGAATTTCCAAGCTACTTTCGTGTATAGTCACTTGATGATTTCGCTGTCACTCGAGATTTATCGATCGCCCAAGTACACGCAATGGAGAACGTGCGCACTAATATGTGAACAGGGACATTATTTAGTGCCCTCACAAAGAGCCATCGATATCCGATTGAGAAAGCGGGGCTCCTCGACAGATCCCCGCATTCAATTACGTATGTACAGTCCAATTGTCCGATTATATATGTCGATATGTAAATTTTGTTAACGTCGCGGTTTCCATCGCGACGCGCCGGGAAGAGAAAATCTCTTTGGAGAATTTTTGGAATCGCTGAAATATCTATTCGGCGATATCCAGCTTTTGCAATCTCATTTATATTTATCGTGTAATATATCTTTCGAATTGTTTCGCCACGCAAAAAGTTACACGCGAGATTTATTCTAAACTGAATGATTGATAACGATATCGAAATGTTAAATTTGTCTTAACTTTGCATATTCGACTGGCTTTTACGACAAAACGCGAATCGAATTAATGACTTTTCGATTGAACCTGTATCGCTTATTTAATGTGTCGATATTAAACTGCGTTGCAGCGATTGCGTTTATGTCATGTGAAGCAATATTTGCTAAAATTTTGATGATTAATATGCAATTCGCGTCACTTCTGTTTAACGGTTTATTTGCAACGTAATCGTCACAAATAATCTCCTTCCCTTTAATTAGTTCCAGTTTAAACTCTGAAAACATTAAATTGTCATATTCAATAATTTGATAGAAATTGACGTAATTAAAATTATATAAAGTTTCACCGGTGAATTCGTAATTCAACAACCGAATTTTTAATTTCTTTTATTTCGCTCTTCAAGTTTTTGATCTTTGAATTAACGCCACGTTAGTCTCGTGTGCTCGCGTTTATTTTTAGTTCTTGACTTAATTTTTCCATGCTAATATCCGGCAATTATGACTCATGTTAATTACATTAGTTAAGCAATTGAAGCTTTTAATGCATAAACTCGGTGTAATTAACTGTCTTACTTGCGCGTTTTTTTTTTTGCATTATACATTGAAGGTTATAATTTTGAAGTTAACAAGAGTGTTCACGCACAACAATGGCGCTTCACTGCAACTTGTTTATTACGAGCAAAACGTCTGGACGAGAAAAAGTGGTCCGGATTGCTCCAAGGAACGTTCCAGTTACGACTGACAGGTTTACAAGTCCGATACATATGATTCATTTTCCGAGGAATGAATTTCTCTAGTTAGCAATTGTGTGTTTTCACCATTGATTGCTATTTATCGGATCACATTTTCTACCTTTTTAACGCGCGAATTTGTGTTACATAAAACAACACAACCTTGCTTTTCTTGCCGCTCTGCGGCATCTAATTGCTTTCCTTGACGTGCTTATGTCCTTTTTATGCAAGAGATCGAAACTCTTTATAATTATGAGAATAATAGCAGTACACATTATCATTTATTCAACCGTTATTTTCTGCTTTGATTGTTTCTCAGAAATAGTTGGAATTTTACGTTTGTATTAATTTTTGCACTTTTATATGATAGAAACCGATAACAATCGATATAATATATTTCTTTTATGTGATTTAAAAAAAATAGCATTATTGCACATTTGAAAGTCGATGCAGAATATGATTGACGCAAAAATCCATGCGCGTTATTATGGTAATTTTTGAAAGTTATTGATTAATATTGAATTATTATTGGACCTTAATTGCCTGCTGAAAGGATAATTATTTTGTACGAATTAATGATGAATTGAGTCTGTATTGTACAACAATATTATAATTATCAATAAATGAAATGGTTTGCGCGAGATAAAATTTTCAACAGCGTATTGAACATTTTTAATCCATTTTTTAGTACAATTTTAAATGCGCAGGTAATAAAATTTTTTATAATTTTAACGTTTTCTCTAAAAAAGATTTTAATTTGTGATACAATTTTTACATTACGAATAAATCAATTTTATTAAAACGAATTTTATTACAGTCAGACAAGAGATGGACAGTTTTTACGCGACCGCTCGGGGCGTTTTGCTGTACAGTTTGCATTATGATAATGCTGTAACACGTACGCGCATAACTGAGTTACGTAACAATGAACATGGTGAATGACTTCTAAATCGTTTCGTGTTATTAATAGCCCATTGAAGAAACGGGAAATGCGTTGTTGACCATTTTGCCTGCCTACGTAAAATGATTGTCATTTATGAATGAAACCTCGCTCGCAGCTGCGTGCGCGCCGATACGAAAAATACTAGGTAGGCGTTGATAATAATGTGTCGTTTGTTGCTAGGTTGCTTGATAATTGCCTGTTCTAATAATGGCCGAGGGACCCATTATTTTTACGACTGAACTAAATACACTCGGTACATTAAATGATTGCTTTATCGGCGACGTGAGTTTGACGGATAATCGATAACTACGTTGTTATTTCTTTATGAATGCGTAATTATTTTAGTTTTCTCGATGTGAAATATGACTGTGAGTTAATATATCGAACTTGTCAGCGGCAGAAAATAATGTATTATAGGATGTCTGCAACCTGGAAAAACCTGGAAAATTCATAATTTTCAGAGGGAATCTATTTCCGTTTGAAAAATTCTCAAGCAATTCTCGGGGAATTTTGTTTGAAAATACTTTTTCAAAGATTTATTTCGCGATCGATTTATCCTTGAATTCTTTCCTTTTTCAAATTTAATATTTGAAACCAATAATTTTCTCACTAATAAGCATTAGTAGTAAACCTTAAGAAGCTCATACAAATTTATTTTAAATTTGCGCATGAGAAATGCTTTGTTTCCGCTTAGAAAATGACTGGAAAATCATGAAATTCTCAGAAAATATTTTTTTGAACATTTTAATTAGGTATTTTTTTTTTTTTTATTTTTCTTATACTTTTTTTCATCGCCGGTGAGCTATCCTTCTTCGTTAACGAAAGTCTGCGTTTACTTTGCGTCTTAATGACTGACGCTGGATTGATTGCCATCGCATTAGTTTAACTAGATTCTCGATTGCAGTCGAGATCAATGTTTGTAGCTAGTTGCAGCCCGAACAGACAGTAGAGACAGCATTGCGGTTTCTCAGCGGCGGTCGTTCTCGCAAACCGGCTCGCTCTCCCATTGATCGATATTCGCCAGACCGTGAAACGATCTCGACGAGGCTTTTACCATTGGCGGTGACATCGCCTCCGTCCGATGATTTGTCCACAATGCGCCATTCGTTCCGATTAAATGCACACGCGATAAGTCGGATCGTTCGAGAGGAGCCATTGTCGTAATAGAGATATAATCATCTTTTTTAACGGAAGCGCAGCGCGCGGAAGTCAATCTTCCCGTACGCAAGCATAATGCATCCCGCAAGTGACAATGTTCTGGCTTTGGAATGCTAACCAGCCGGCTTTTCATTCGATTTACGGAGAATGAAACGAATGAGGCTTCTCAAATGGCACGATTAAACACGCGAGTACTTTCTAATTATGTGGTTGTACAGAGATCATTAGCGAAACTGGTAATCTAGCTTGTTGCCGGCGTGCTCCTCGCACGCTGTTTTTCACATCAAGCTCGACCTTCGGCATGACATCGGCGATATATCGCCGATCGGAGCCGCGGACCATCAAATCAATATTTCACAGGGAGATTTATGTTGCCGCGATACGAAAAAAAAATTTGCAAACATCATTTCATGAGCGGTAAATCCTTCGACATCGAATATAAATGAACTCTTCGCTCACGGTTGGCCTTATCCGGCGTATGCGAAACTTCCGCAGATTGAATTAGCGAATCGGAAGCATGGAAGGGCTTGCACGGGACCGCTGTATCACATTGAAAGTATATCGATGTGATATGAAAGAGGGACGTACGCGGTCCGCTGTGTTTTCGAGTCAATTTCCAATATTGGATATCGCGACAAGTGGAGTGTCCGTGAAAGAATGTCCGCCTGTCGATGATTCTCAACGATAGGAGCGTGCGATCCTAAAGCTCTCCGTCTTTTTGCCAAAGCAGGACAGCAACTCTAGCGCGGTCCACTTCCGACGCCTCGATCGCAGCTTGAACGGCGAGGAACGACGCGGTGGCGCGTAATGGGAAGTATGTGTGACATCTCTATCGCGAAAGCATCGTAAAAGTGATCGCGCGAAACGCTCGTTTGCATACACGCGGCGGTGCGCAAATGTGATGAACAAGTCGGAGAGAGGGTTCGCGACGACGAGACGTGGTAAGGCAACGGTGAAGTCGTGACCCGTGAGGTGTGCGCCGAAGGTCATGGCCAAGAGTGTCATCAAAAACGGGAACGGTGGATGTCCTCTGCACTGGGTCGACAATTCCGCCGGACAACGTAGACACCTTTTTCAAGCGGCCGCCTTTTACTTGATTGTGCTGGCGGTCTTGTGGTGCATGTTTTCCACATGTTTCCATCACCGGTAAGAAAGCGACGTGACCTTGTAACATATCTCGAGATGGGGAGTCTTTAGAATATTGGCGGTTTCCTAATATATTTCTATTAAAGGATATTTTCTTACATTTATAAATATAGAAGAGGTTTATGTTTTAGAAAACTGCCGAGATTTAGACATATCGTTTTGCGAAGGATAATCTATTTATATTATATCTAGAATTAAGATAAATCTTTTTAAAAAAATAATTGCACGATTTTTGTATTCACGAGTAATGTCAATATGTGCGTGTGTTTCTCAAGCATATCTTTTTTCCATGTTAATTTAATTTCTCGTCATCAGCTCGTATTTTCACGTATATGATTGCAGTGCTCAAAAATTCTATGCATCTGAAAGTAACTATGTTTTATCCCGATTTGTCATATCTGTTACTCTCCATGCATACTACAAACGCAATATATCATCCGATTTTCATCGACGGTGACACTGCAGTATTTATCATAATTGCGGCGCACATATATAATTTTCTTCTTTAGGAAGAGTAACAAGATTTGCAAAATACTTGTTAATAAAGTACACTGCGTTCCACGAACTTTTGTAATTAACGAAACAAGTCGAGATATCTAGCTGCGAATTGTTAATTAGTAGTTGTATTACGTCGACTATCGAAATAATTACTCCCATTATCGATCGTTATATAGCAGTGTCATGTTATTTGCAATGGAGTTGGATTTGCACGGTAAACCGTCAACGCAAGACGATTGTTTGCTCGCAGGATTTCCGAGACCGGCCAGGCAGTGGTGTTGACACTAGTGGACAATGCAGCGGCGAAACTGCAGAATCTGGCGGAGACGAAGATCGATAGCGAGTTTTCGTCGAGGTCGTCCGTCAAGAATTCCTCTTTACTGAGCGGGAATCAAGTCAGACAATCCGAGGAGCTAACGGCGGCGAGGGCCGCCGCGCCGTCGACGCAGATCCCGTCGCCACCGATCGCGGACGAGACGACAGTGGCGCCGAACGACACGGACGTCCTCGACGACGGGGAGGATGTGCTTCTACCGAAGAACATCTCCGCCGAGGAGACACCGGAGGTCGTGGTGATCGTCAGGGCGGAGCAGAAGGACGGAGAGTCGCAGCTGAAAGTCGAGGAGGAGGTCGACCAGGTTCAGGTGTCTTCCGAGGAGCTGCCGCCGAAGACGGACGGCGCGTTCACCACGGCGCCGGAATTGAACGACACGGCGGCTCGAGAGCAATTGGTCGGCGGCAACAGGGACGAGAGTGCGGCGGTGATTCTAGACGGGCTCGTCGCTTCGGGACCCACCGATCCGCACGAGGACATCCCGTCCTTCAGCGAATGGGCGCAAAAGCGTTTGGAGGAGGCGGAGAAGAAGAAAAGTGAGTGTGTTGCGGATCAGCGTTTCGTTGATTTATTTGATATCGATAACATTCCGTATTGAATTCGATGTTATTCGGGTACTTATCGACAGTTGCTTCTCTGTTTCACAGCTCATCCGAACGCTTCCGTTCAGACCCCGGGTGGCCCGGGACGAGGCGTGAGCGGCATGAAGATTCGTTCGAAGAACTACGCCTCTCCCGATTGCGGCGCCAAGATCGTGGCGGCTAATCCCGAAGCGAGTAGCGCCAAGAACGTTCTCGTGTCCACGCGCGACGAGTACATGCTGAACGCCTGCACGTCGCGCGTCTGGTTCGTCGTCGAGCTCTGCGAGGCGATCCAAGCGAAGAAGATCGAGCTCGCGAACTTCGAGCTCTTCAGCTCGTCGCCGAAGGACTTTGCCGTCTACGTGAGCGACCGCTTCCCCACCAAGGAGTGGATTCCGGTCGGTCAGTTCACCGCCAAGGACGTGAAGGATATTCAGAGCTTCGCCCTGCATCCTCACTTCTTTGGCAAGTTTATCAAAGTGGAGCTTCTATCGCACTACGGGTCGGAGCACTTCTGTCCCGTCTCGCTGTTTCGCGCTTACGGCACCAGCGAGTTCGAAGTGCTCGAAACGGAGACGGAGAATCAGATTCTACACGAGGCGAGCCCGGACGAGGACGATGACGAGGACAGCGACGAGGAGGAGCTGTTGGACAGCGAGGGCGGTGAGTCGCCGAGGAACCTCTTCGGCAGCGCGCGCGACGCCGTGCTGAGCATCGTGAAGAAAGCCGCGGAGGTTCTGGTGAAGTCGAGCGATCTCACCAGAAACAACATCACGGAGATCCAGCAGAGCATCGACGACGGCAACATCCTCGACAACTCGTACACGACCTGCACGACTCCCAGATACACGATTCTCTGCGACAATTGCACCGATCAGAAGTTCGCCAGCGTCTTCCAGCTGGTCAGCTGCAGGGACCGCCAGCTGGATGGTTTGCTGAGGATCGATTGGGTGAACAGGACTCTGAGACGAGGGAAGCTCTGTCGCTTCCACGGCGTGGAGATAGAGTCGCTTTGGCAGGAGGAGGAAGAAGCGCAGCGCGATGATACGACGTCCTTCAATCTGGTGGAGGATCTCCAAGCGACTTTTTTAACTTCCGTCTTCAAATCCGAATACATAGTGGCGCTGTGCAACGTTCTGGCGACGAAGGAGCGCAAGGTGGTGATGAACACCAGCTACGAGATGTCCAACAGTTCCGAGAACGCTGCCAGAGAGAACGTTCTGTCCGTCAAAGACACCGAGCACAGCGGCGAGATCACTTCTCAACACCAAGTGTCTGCCACGTGTACTCTGGACTCGAATTCTCCCGCCTGCAAGTCAGTCGCTTCCTCCAAAGAGACCCGACGGCGTTCGGGCACTCAGGACATCAAGGACGAGGAGATCGACAACATTAGCACAACGTCGATAGAGACTTCCGCTAGCGCGGAGAGCCTGGCGTCGCAAATCAAGCCCACGAAGACACTCAGCAAGGAGGACCTGAAGAAGGAGTCGTCTGTACCGATTCTGGAACCCAGTAAGGAGCCTACAGAGGAGACGTTGCAGCCGGAAGTGCTAACGACCGTTCCGCCGCCGTCCAATCCAACGCCGACCTTGAAGATCGCCGAGGAGTTGCCGGTTCTGGGAACTTCCGTCAAGATGACGTCGCAAACTGTGAACAGCGTTACGCCGATAAACCTCGATAGTCAAGAAACTGCCGACACGCCTGCGCCTGAAACGGATAGCGCTGAGTCTGTTACGCAAGGCAGAATAGAGAAATCGGAGAACGGCGAGCAGGACGGGAAACAGGCGAAAGACGTGGGTGAGCAAGAAGTTCGACTGTCGTCTCAAGATCATCTCGCGCTGGACACGCTGCTGTCCGACCTGAAAGATTTGGAGGGCGACACGGCCAATATGCAAAACGGAGCGTCCAGCTCTTCGTCAATGATGCAGCCCACAACTAGTACCGCGCCTCAAAAGGAGTCTGTTTTTCTCCGATTATCCAACAGGATTAAGGTAAGAAAATGCGTTGGAGACATTTTTAAAAGGAACAATTTGAAATAAAATTATTTTAAGAAATACTGAAAAAGGGAAAGTAATATTGCATATTATTTTCGTATTACATTAAACGTAACTTATATTGCATATATAGTTCATTTGCGAGAGGGAAACTGTTGAGAGCATTACTGTGTACAAACTCGAGGCAAATTAGATACGTGATGATTAATAGTTCAGGATACAAGTTCGATTCTCGTTAAATTTCGAAAAGCTTTTTCTTTCATCTTGCGAAACATTTGTTAGATTTACTATGTAAAATGTTGGAATCTATATATTGTTAATTAATGAAAAATTGGTCAGAAACGGATAAAATAAATGAAATTTGCTCGGTCACTTTTTGGACGTTAATGGACTTGAAAATTTTTATAATAATGTCTCAAAATTTTAATCAATGATTTACTTGTTTATTCGTGAAAACAGTTATCAATTAATGAATTTATGTTAATATAAATAATTTAATAATTATAATATAATAATTAGTTTTTGAAATTATTTTACATATTATATTAATAATGCTGAATATTGATTTTTTTCAGACTTTAGAAAGAAACATGTCGCTTAGCGGACAATATCTGGAAGAATTGAGTCGTCGTTACAAAAAGCAGGTCGAAGAAATGCAGCGCTCATTGGAACGTGCGGTCGCCGCTATGGGCGAGGAGTCTCGAAAGGGCGAAGAACGCGAAGCGAAAAGGGTGGAGGAGATCACCGCGTTGAGAGAAGAAATCGCTATACTCTCGAAATCAGTCGAAACTTTGCTCTACGATCGGGACAGCTGGCGCAGTCGAATATCCGGGATCGCACAGCACGCTTTGCTGATCTGCTTCGAAATTGTCGTTATCGTTTTGATTCTCACTTACTGTCGCAAAGGAGAAGATTGCGAGGAAAAGGAGAAACTCCTGTCGGACACGAAGGAGGCCGTGCGTCGGAGAAGCGCGGAGAATTTCAGTTCTCACGCCGCAGCAAAAAAGACGAAGAAGCGACGACCCAGCGAGATTGCTTCTCACATAAGCGGCACGTACCACGAGCTGATGATCGACGATCGATCTCACGAGACGAAGAAGGAGCGGAAGAAGAAACGCAAGAAGGAGGCAGCCGCCGCCGGGACTAGAACAGCCGGTACGGAAGAGGCGACGCGTTACAAGAGTGGATTGAACATGATTCCGGGCGGCGCGCCGCTGCCGTCGAGAAGAGCGTCGTCCATAGATCGTCCGCGTACCAAGGAGTCAGAAAATTCGGCCAAGAGACCGGAATCCACGCCTGAGGCCACTGCGAGTTGCTTCGACGATCAAGCAGAGAAGAGAGAATGGATTATACGTTCCGCGCAGGAGAATAAAGTCTACGGGATGAAGTTGGCGTTAAATTCCGAACTCGGTCGTCAAGTTGACGAACTGTACGAATCCAATTCGTCATCGACGACGATGGACACGTCCGTTGAAGGATCGATCACGACGAAGAGGAAGATCGAAGTGCCGAGAAACGGCTCGTTCAAGGCAGGCGGCATTCTCAAGAGCACGAGATTGAGCTCGCCGTCCTTCATGAAGACCGCCTTGGGCGCGAGAAACAAGAGGAAGTCTTCGTCGAATTCCAACGAAAAGTGGGAGTGGAACCAGGATTCTTCGGAGCATTCGAACGGCCGATCTCTCGCGTCCAGTCCGACGAGCATCGATACTATCGACGGTAGTACGAATGGTAACGCCGCGAACGGCTTGATCGAGGAAAGCGACGAATCGAGGAGCAGTAGCGCTACGCCTATGTTGACGAAGAAAGAGAAGAGAAACACAGGCCTGAAGAAGATGATGAGGAAGTTTTTTTGATTGAAGTAAGCCCTTCTACAGGCTGAATTGGATCCTTTGCATCGAATCGGTCGCCATATAAACTGTATGTAGACTTGTTATCGTGATGATGAATTAAAATAGTCGACTCAAGCGAGGAGCTTGAAAGTAGGAAATGAAAATGATCGAGCCGAAAAGTTTTACGGATTCAACTAGATTACATTAACGAAAAGAGAGACGATCACGATCCTATTAAACTTTTCGATATTTCGTTTCTAAAGTTCTCTCGCGCATTTGTCGATCGGCAGATTTTTCGTTCCAAGTGTGACAATGCGTAGCTTTATCAGAACTGCGCTTGATTTACTGGTGATAAAGCTGTCATAATTAGTTTAGCGCATACGTTTCGCCAAACACAGAGAAATATGGGAAAGTTTGCCACGGGGTATATTCCAGTATGTTTTTGTCACGTGCGTGGTTAGCCCACCGTTGCGAAAGATGTGTGAGTAAACTGACGTATAAAAGATTAGCATAGCATAAGTTATAATTTAACTTGTGTAGGGTATATAATTGTGATTGGTTTTCAAGCAACGCAACGGCAGTGACTATAGTGGTTTACGTTTTTGTTTTAAATTATCCGAATTATTTAATTTTTATTTATCAATCATAGCCAAAGAGAATAAAAGAGGGAGAGAGAGAGAGAGAGAGGGAGAGAGAGAGATAAAATGAATGAAATGAAGCAAAATCTTAGGACATTAGCTGTTATATTCACTATAGTATAAGATCCATTAGCGAATTAATTTTCATTGTTAATGGCGTATTTGCTTATTCATTATTCAAATTTTCAATTGTTATTATTGTTGACAACTTTATGGTAAATTGATGACAGATAGGATAGAATCTGAAAAGCATATCGAAGTCTTTAGGACATTTTTTATTTGTTTCAAACCTTTTTCACAATATCTTATTTATTTTGTTTTCCCCGATAGCCTGCCGTTCTCGTCTTCCGACAATATTATAGTAGAAACGCAAAATTCTGTAGTATGTAGTGACTTCAATCGTCATTCATTTATTTTTTTTTTTCGAAGACTTAGTTCTACATTTACATCTCACGCATTTAGTGCTAAATATTGCCTAAATATAATTCTTAATGTATGATATAGTAATACGATATTATTATTATGATTTAAATAATAATAATTTTTTGACGGCCATATTTAGCGCTAAATATAAAATGCATATGCAGACGTGTCTTTGTCGACATATTAATTTTGCGACATTTGCCACTTGAAGATATTCCGAAGATTGACAACGATTGTGCCAGCATTTTCTACTTGATAAAGGAATGCGCTGTGATAAAATTCTTTTAGGATTTGCGAAAAGAGATGCGGAAATGAATATAGGAGGAAGGGTAAAGAAAGAATAACAAATAGAAAAATAAGGAGGAGTAAATGACTTTAAAATGACTTAAAAATAATCGAAAATGTGTCCTATTACTTAATGTGCATTTAAAAACTATAAATAGTAATTGTTGTGTGGAGATTATAAATAGAGAGCAACTGTTGTGTGAAGAGTGCATGGTGTGTTTGAAAAATGCTCGAATTTTTTTGCGAGATTTTAATAAATTTACTTTCTAGACGTAAGTTATTGTTACACGCATTAATCCAGTGATTATTTATACGCGGTATGAGTGATACACTTCAGCGACTTTATCATAATATATATCTATCATTGAAATCAGCATTATTGTGACAATCGCGAATTTTGTATGTTTTTTTTTCAAACAATGTAAATTACAATTTAACGAAAGCGGAGAGCTCGTTTTCAGAATGCGTTATTTTTATTAATGTGATATTTAGTCTTCTCCTTAATTTATAACATAACAGTGCGCGTCACGTTTGTATATTATATTATTTATAACAAATGTATATTGCAAGTTACTTCGCAAAAAGCAAAAATATATATATATATCTAAAAATATTATCTATTAATTCAATAAAAGTTGTTAAAATTGCGAAATTCTAATATAGTGAGACGCGTGCTTTAATACTGGATTGCAGAACACGTTGATTTGACCAGTTTCTCACTCATTTTACATATCTTTATGTATTATTGGAGAATGTTTACAGATATTTCACGTAATTGATTTTATACATAATAGTATACACAATAGAATAACGTTTAAGTCACGACATAAAAGCATTACATATCGGTTATTTACAATTAGTATGGAATCTGCATGACAATACGTTATGCATTCGCATTATATATTTATTTGCGACGAAAACGATTTATAATGTATTTAAAATTATACGTTTTAATTCATAAATATAATATGAGTAAAAGTTTTTTCTAGTTCTATAATTTTATCTAATTATTGAAATTATGAATTAATGTTTCCGATGGATTTTCAGAAAATCAAATTATATTATTTTCGAATGATTATCTTGCGCTAGTCTATAACTGCAAGATTATTTGTATTACAAGAGAAATTGTTTCAAAAATTTAGAGCGACATTTCAATTTTTGTAAATGCACGGATGATTGCAAGTTTAATGCCGCAGATCTTCGAGTGGATTTCTGGACAGACGTACATGAGAAGTTTATGTAAATACATCGTGGAACAAGTAAAAGTAATCGATATTGCAATATGATTATAAATAAAAAAGTTGCACATGATTGAAAGCTTATATATAACAATAATATAAATTCGCGAGAATACTTATAGTTTTCGTCTTATGATATTGCAACTCTTTTGTTTATGATCATAGATATTATATTAATACGGCTGTTCCCATATATATATATATATATATATATATATAAAGAAGTTTTATATATAATATATAAATATAGAAAATATGTAACATATACTGTATATTAATTGATCGGTTCCTGTTGGTTTCTCTTTAGATACTGTCTTTCAAAAAAAAAAAAAGCAGGGAATGCATTGAACTTCATTTAATCGACCTATGTGGGAACAGTTATATGAAAATAAAATCTCGATATCAAATAATGTAAGTAATGAATGCTTATTCACTCATATCGATATTCTATTTATATCTTCAATATTAATTTATTATGCGCAAATGGATTTTACGTTAAGCTCATATGAATCATTTGATTTTACGCAGCACGTCCTTTGCAAGTGTCATATAGGATAACATTTTCATGAATTTTTTACTTATACATTTATAAATATTTATTTAGAGAACACGTTCCTGTACTTTGAGATCAATTTATAATTTTATTGTCAAGTATTGAAATTTATGTGTATAAACATTTGCGAATGAGAATCATTGAGTTTATTGTTACTGTACATTAGAGAGAAATGTGTGAAAAGCGAAGAAGAGGTTTTGTATGCGTGGAGAAATGTAGTATATATAAGATCGTTTGCGCCTACTGTTGAATGTTTAGTCAATTATCATAAATGACTGTTATTCACCCGCCTGAATTTTAAACATTGCTTGTAATTAAAAGTGTACGTCTGTAAATACGAAAATAATGCACGTTGCGTATAATGAATTAATGAAATAAAGTTGCCAAAAGATTTGTCGTACATAATATTCCTGTGGCATCTGCTCAAATAAAATTTGCTTTACAGATGTGTGACAGAAGTATTTATTTCTTATTAACGAGTGCTTACGTAAAAATCAGATTTTATAAATGAATATATTATGTTGAAGTGAATCAAAGTGAATCAAAAGTTTACTTTAATTAATGAAAATTTTGGAGTATTGATTAAACATTCTTTCTGTATTTTCAGAAACAATATACAACGCAAGATTGATTATCGCGTCGCTTATCATCGATAGATTCATATTTTATAGAAACAAGTCTGCTTATATAAATTAACACAATTATTCAGGAACGATCTATGTAATAAATATATTACATGTCGACAATAAAATGGTAGCTTTTTATATGGAAATAAGAACAAATTTACTCATGATTTAAATATTAATGTTCTATTAATATAAAAATAAAATTTACATGGACGAATTACACATAGCACATTGATAGATGTGTTCAGAAATATTGTACTTTTTATTTTACTTATTACGATCAACGTATTTGAATAAAATTAGGATTCTGTAGATAAGCTCTTTAAAAGCGTGGATACTTCAGATGCTTCCTTGAAAGAGGACAATTTTCTTGCAGCCGCTTGTTTGTTTAAGCTAATGACAGCGAGCCTGAGTCTATTTCTCCATTCTTTCGGATCGTGTTTCTCTATGGAACACATAATGATCTCGTTTACTTCACCTTGAATTGCGTAACTAGCAGTCGATTGGAATATCATATTCAGATCGTCCATTACTTTCTGTTTCAAGCTTTCGTCTCTGCTGACAAGACTCAAGATAAAAAGACCGTTCTCTGTTAAACATGTTGCAACTTCTTTCAGCACTGACATTTCGAGAAATTGCTTCGGCGGACAACTCAGTCCAATAGTAGCATCTTTGTTATTGATATCGAAAAGTATTGCTTTATACTTTTTCTCAGATGTTGCAGCGTATTTAATAAATTGTATACCATCTGTGATTTCTATTTTTATTCTATCGTCAAGAATGAGATTGAAATACTCAGTAGCCACTTTTAGCATCACGTTGTCTATTTCGACTGCAGTAATTTTTAGCTAAAAGAAAAAATAATTTTAATTTTTTTAAAAATGTTACAGATCTTAACATAGCGCTCCATAATCTGAAAATAATGAATGTTACATACTTTGGGAAAACAATGATGTAAAAATGTGCAAAGACCGCCACCGCCAAGTCCCACAATCATAATCTCATCCTGTTCTTTTATGTCTATCACTGCACTCACGCCAGCGCTCATGTGTACGTGATGTTCACAGGCCAAAAATCCCGGATCGGCGATTTTTCTCGTTTTACCACGTCTGGATTTCGCTACAAATTTATAACAATTGCGTTATCAGCTATAATCTTGCGCAATCATAGTTATAATTATCGCAGAACATCTAAATTATGAATTACAGTACCTTCCTTCATTCTAGCTTCGCTCTGAATGACGTATGGATTGCTCAAGAATATAAGTCGTCTGAACTCATGACCGTCGATCTCTACGTCTTCAACAACGAATGGCCCACTGATATCGCTCTTTCCTTCGTAACAAATAATTCGAACGCCCAAGTCGGAACCCAAGGATAGAAAGGGAATATCATTCTTGCCGCACAGGCCGGCTGGTGCTAAATTACGAACGCAATCTTCCAATTCGGTTTTCACAGCATCCCAATTTTCAAACTGGTGTTCTCTGCACAAAGTAACAATCGCGAGTCTGTCTTGTTGCGCGCTCTTCAAGACTTGCTGTCGTCCTTCTTTTGTACTGAACAACCAATCGATTTCTCTACAAATTGAGACGTACAGTTTGGTGATTTGTAGCAATTAAACTAATTTATATTTTAAAAGTATTGAACGTACTTTCCCTGTGGTACGATGAAAGCAGCGTACGTTTTTGCCTCGCGTATACGTGGTTGATCGAGAACATAAACAGTATATCGTGGATGTTTGTCACCAGGACGATATAAGTCTAACGATATTTCCCCCACATTGGCGATGCTTTTCTTATGAAGACTGTTGCACACTAATGCAGACTGTTGGGCGGATAATACAGCAGATATCATGTTATCTGTTGAAGATAATCGTTCAGGTGGGCCATCAACTAGAGCTATCTCGAGGATCTATCAAGATTAAAATCATTAAAGATAAGTTCCACAAACTTGCCTATTTATTAAGATTAGAATGGCAATGTAAAAATTTTAATTTTGAAACATACGGTTTGAGACAATTTGATGAATTTTGTGGCAATGACCACAAAAATTGGAACCGAACTGCCCTCCTCCATACGTGCCTTTGACTCGGCTTCATGGCATCGTGATATACGGAACATAAAACCTGAGGTAGGAAAGTAAGACAAGAGCTTTCTAAGAATGTGCTCCTGTAGCAATGTAATGCAGATATATCTGCCGCCATTCCGTAACACTCGTGTGACTTCCTAAATAAATTTTATTAATAAATAAAATATTACAAGACATTTCTATGGTAATTAAAAACTAACCTTGAAATACCTATCAATTGTAGATATCGTTGTCTCTTTGGTATCTGGCATTAAAGCATCTAATGTACCTTTATCAAGAATTACACTGAATTTCTCATCAGGATATGTCATCTGTGTAGCGTCCATATATTCATATATCAATTCTGGCCTTGTACTATTATTTATGTCACACATTTGTTTAATTACAATATGTGATATGTCAATATTAGTGATACTTCTGTAAAGATCAAATTTAAGACTTATTTATCTACAAGAATGTAAGTTAGAGTTATGAATTAATTAATTAAATAAATTATTACAATCATACATATAAATATTGCAAAGAATATATATAAAATAACTTACTTGTAACCAACATCATACAAAGACATGCTTAGCGTAGAATTTCCACAACCAACAATTAAAATGTCATCTTTTAATTTGACATATTTCAGAAGTATTTCGCATAATTCTGGATATTCACCATACCTAAAGCCAGATAAGAATAATCAGTGATAACTTATAATAGTATTTAAAAATTGTTAATAACCTAATTACACAGCTTACATACCAGTCAAACGTTTTTTTGCCACGTTTTTTGAAAAAAGTATTCCAATACTCTGCATAACTGAATTCTTCGTGCGTTTTTGGCAAAAGATTCATGCTTTATAATAATAATTAAATAAATAGGTTTTTTTATAGGTTAGATCCCTTTAACCTACTCTCAACAGAAAAATGTACTGGATGCACTGTATAGGTTATATTTTAATATAACATCAGTTTGAAGTAGGTACGCCGAGATGATTCGCAGCGCCATCAAGTATATAATAGTGAAAACGCGTTTAACCGCCATTCAAAATTTGAGACCAGCAAGAAAAGAATAGACGAACAATTGCGCGATTAAAATCATATAAAAGCACAAACGTATTTCCCGTTATACGTTTTATACGTTGTCAAATTAGAGAAAAGCAGGAAGAAGGGAAGGAAGACACAGGTCTGCACAATGGCGATTTGGCCTGCGAATACTAGCTTACGTAGCGAGAAATTGCACAAATTCGTTTCAACTAGACGAGCGTGTATATGTATGTATCTTTTCCTATATTTGCAGTTTGATAAAAATGTGCCTTAAAAGTACAATATTTATGTTTTAAACAAGTCTAAGGAAATGTATTTGTATTTCATTAGGAACGATAAAAATCTCGTTATTGTTAAGGTTATCTTTTAATTTTTACGAACAGTCGTGATGATCGGAACATGTTAAAGGTAGTCGTGCGTTACTAACTGTAAGCGTTACGTTAGGTAATTACGCGATACGTACGATGCACCACCGATGGTTACGGCACGTACATCTACGACCGACACTATTCTTACAATAGCAATGGCGATACCGGTAATTACATAAATGTCCACTCGAAATTACTTATCGAGGATCTGTCAGGATCAAAAGGCAGAACGGTATATTAGGTGCAAACACAATAATACAATAACGATATTTATTAATATCATTAACACTCGCGTACATACATCGTGGTACTGATTACCGAAAAACACGACGGACGTGTTGTCACACGAACTGCTCAAATTGCCCGGCACACATGCCGTGACACGCTCAAGGATCGCCTATTGCATCAGCTAATCCTGATTGGCCCTTATTAAGGATATTCCTACGCCTAGGTCGCTAGACGCAGCGCATTAGATAACTCGCGCGTGGTCGCGAGGACCGCGAGAAAGGGGGTACAGCGACGCTCAATCGGCGGCGCTGCACATCATTGCTTACATAACAATGAGACACAAAATGGCATTCGTCCGCGGATGTAGATTTCTATCCTGTAGCGAGAGATTGCACAAATTTGTCTTGGCCAAACGTAAGTATATCTTTTCCTATATTTTCAGTTGGATTAAAATGTACATTAAAAGTAGCTTATTTATATTTTATAGAAGTCTAAAGAAATGTATTCTTTGTATTTCGTTAGAAACAATTTGTAAAAATTAGAAGCTAACCTTACAATAATGAGATCTTTGTCGTTCCTAATGAAATACAAAGAATAAATATTATCGTTAGCAGCATATTCACACCTTATAAAAATGAAACAATATATTGTATTTAGAAATGATAGAAAGTTCCATTATTTGTTAAGATTGTCTCTTAATTTATTACAGTTATGTGATTCATGATAACGGTGCGATGTCGAGGTGGAATATGGATTCGAACACGACGATCGTGCTTTGTACCTGCGGACAATCGAGATCGAAATGAACGAGATATCTACTTACATCAAACCGGATGGATTACATTTTGGAACTGGAGATGGAAATGGATTAAGGATTTTCCGAGTAAGTGAGCATGCTGTTAATTACGATTTTTAATATCTATACATGCATAATATAATTTTTTTCGTAATTTGAATGGTATATCAAAGCATCCCCGTTCCTTTGATATACCACACAAATATACAATCTATAGTATACATAATGTAATACTATAGATTGGAGCGAGTAAAGCATGTTGGGACATGCAATGCGACAAACCTTTTAAAAACGTAGATTAGTATGTCAGATCTACGAGAGAGTCAAATAGTTTGATATTTCTTATATTTATATATAATACATTTTAAGCATTCTTTCGGTGATATCCAGAAAGCAAAATGTTAGGAATATTAGCAGATTTATAACAAATTTGATCAAATTTGCTATCGATATGCCGACATTGCTAACATTTAACTATCTGGGTAAAATTGAAATCATTCTGTTTTTAAAACTAATATACTTAATACATAATACATAATATATAATTGTAATTGCTAATCAGTTAGTTCAATTACAATATATGTTATCACTTTGCTTGTAAAATAGTTTTGCTTTGTAAATATTTAACACAGCCTATTTCTGCCTACATTTGCCGATAATGGTAACATTAGTATTTAACAGAAATAATTTAACGCAAAATGATAAATTTTATCTAAAGATTCTTAACTAAAGAAGTGACATTGACTATTTTGCGAAATTTTACGAGTTTATTTTCTTAATATTAGCTGCAATAATTTGAGAAATTTAGTTTTGATATCTTTATTTTGATTGTGTTGCATATTTTACGTAATTACGTAATTTTTATTATTTATTAATGAATCAGAGTTATATATCTTAAAAATCTCACAATTAATAAGTTATATAAGTAAGCAATTTTATATAAATATTTATTGACTAAGTTGTTCGTTTATCTAATTTGTTAATCAGAAATTTAAATACATTACTGTCGTGTTTAGTATCTTATTTGTTTTTTCTTAAGTTTTTTCTTTATGTTTTATTCATTTTTATATTCTTTTGATGCACTCTGCTGTGAGTGTAATATCTATAAAGTCATAATGAGACTTTTTAATGTGCAGCATAAAACTTCGAATTAATGCTAAATGCGAGGCTATTAACCGCAGAAATATCCCTTTATCTTTTGCTCCCCATATATATATAACATATTTTCTTAATATTTTTATAACAATCATCTTGATAACTGCAATTATTAAAAGAAATGGAGAGAATTAAATGTACTTAGCATATAGATGCTCTTTTTTATTCAATTATTGATAGTCTGAAAAAAATATATTAATACATTAGAGAAATTGTTAAATAATCATGTTATCTTTTTAATATTTTTCTTTTATTCATAAAAAATGACAAATAGTTTGATATAAATAATGTAACAATTGAACAAAATTTTATTAACGTGTTAATTATTAATTATTAAGTTTTTTTTTGTAGTATGCTTATCTGATATAAATTCTTATCTATTACTCAACTTTAAATAATTAAATACAATTTCTATATAATTTTTTTAGCAAACAATATAAAAATATAATAGTATACATTTGTAACAAAAGTGCACAATTTTATTTTTATATTGTTTAGTAGAAAAATTGTATAGAAATTATATTTTAATTATGTAAAGTCGAATAATAGATAAGAATTTATATTAGATAGGCACACTACGGAAAAAAATGATTAATGTGTTAATGAAACAAAATATTATTTAAGCTAAGGATTTAATTTATTATTTATTTTATATATTAAACAATATAAAAATTGTGTACATTTGTAATAAAAGTGCATAATTATATAAAAATATGAATTATATAAAATATAATTTGTACACTTTCATTACAAATGTACACAATTACATTTTTATATTATTTAATATGAAATGAATAATAAATTAAATCCTTAGCTTGAACACAATTTTTCTGATATTATCGTTTTTTTAATGACTATCGTATTCTGATACATTAACGTGCAACGTCTAGAAGATTCACGAGAAATAGTCTTGAATAATTTAAAACTAAGCAGAATAAACAAGAATGATGGTGCAAATTGATAAGATCGCCACGTAAAGTAATCGTGTTATAAGAGTGTTTCTATTAAAACTACTATATCGATCAGTCCTTACATTCTTCTTAACTCATTTGTATCATTGTTCTCATTTGGGAACATCACATATTGAGCTTTAAATGGTCAATAATACGCGCGTTTATCTTTAGCGTTATATTCTTCAAGTTTCGCTAAAACAATTATTACGTCTGTGTTAAAAAGGAGCATACAATTTGAAATATTTGAAGAAAACAGCAATTTATGTGGAGACAAATGTAGCACAATCTGTCCTATTACTTGCATAATTAATGTAGTTATTCGAAAGCACGATATGTTGATTTACGAAACAATTTACAATTAATTAGCTTCACGCGTTCTATCACTTTGAGAATCATCTGTCGCAGGTATCAGAAATTGCCCTACAGGTGTTGCCATTGATTCCCGTTGGGAAATTAACTGTAACGCGAGCAATTTGCATCACGCAGAAGTCAGGTGCGCATTGACGTCTCGCGCGCCGGCTTACACATTTTATCTACCTCGTTTTCCGGAACAGATATAAACAAGCGTATGCAGATAAAGATACTAAATGCACATGTATAATGTAAGTTTCACGAAAATTTCACAATAATTGCAGCGAAAGTGTTATTGCGCGCATTATTTATGTCGGAAATTGGTGCTATGTAAATACACGGGGTCTATCATTATTTCTACATGGTATACGAAGTGAATTAAATAATATTACTTGTTGCGTAAATTACGTTTCAGAACTTCACTTTAATAACATGGTGTTTTGATTTATTATTTATTTTTATTGCTATATGCTTATGTCAGTACGCTGTCAAATTTTTTAAAATTTTAATACTGTAGTGTATAAAAATTATTCGTCTAAATATTGAAACGTTATGTTGTATTTTAATTCATAATTAATCGAATTTTGCTCATAATTAATTCAAGATATTTTATGTTCATGTTCAAAGTTAAGGTTATTACTTTGCAACAACTCTTTCCACTGACGTGGAATATATTTCTTTTCTACGCGGCAAGTTACTGCCATTATTAGATATGTAGTATTTCTTGAAAAAGTAATGAGAAATGACTTCGAGGAAACTATGAATAGCTGGATAATAGTAATATTTACATCGCGCATATAGACATTCAAACGAATAAACATGCAAATGCATTGACCATTTCGATAAATAAATAAATGTATTAATTGTGAAATAGTATTAAAATATCTAACGTTAAATATTGAAAATTTGTGTTGATTATTTAGATTAAAGTTTATGTTAAATATTGCATATGCATATTTAGATACTTTATCACTGCCAAATGTTAGCGATGGCAGATTGATCTGACAATCATTTGATCACATTTGCTGCCAGCATTGCCGGCATTTTGCTCACTGGACATATATTTCTTTATATCTCTTTTGCAAAACAAAGATAAAATGTACGTTAATTCTAAAAAAAATTGTCTTATCGCATTTTAAAAGCAATTCAAAAGCTTACCAAAAAGTCTGTCAAGATATGTGTGACTTTTCGCACATCTTATACATGCATTGCTCGGTAAAGTGCAGTTTAATTATCTTTGGCATCGACGGGAAATCATGTGCAAACGGCACAAGATGCGAAATCAGCCGAAATGAAAGTGTGCGACATGAATGTGTAATTGACGCGAAAGCGTAATCGATAGTTCATTCTGCAAATATTCGTATATATACACATTTATATATAAGTGTACATATATTATACATGAAAGCAGCAGGTGAGATAAGAGCACATAAGGTCCTCTCGTGCAGGAAATGTGAAGGCGACGTGCGCACACACTACACGTCACATTCACGTGCCGAAGACAAGTTCTTAATCTCCGCATCTCCGCGGAGAACTTAATAACGACACCGATGTGCCAGAAAAGCTTGATGTAAATCGCGGGATGTAACGGCGGCTGCTTTGTAGGTTGCCATTCAAGTTTATGAAATTGCTAACGCGTGTGCAAATATGCGTCGGTCCTTCGTGCACTTGTTACATGCGATGGTTAGAATGAATATACAAAATTTTTTCAATAAGATAAATATTAAATATAGCGATTTACGTGATTAATGCAATTGTTTACACGAAAAATAACTTGTGTATGTATTTTATGCGATATTTCTAATCTCTTACATATTTTTTACGAAAGTTTTTATTTAACAATTGTCGCTGCATGAATGAGATAATATCTCAGAAGCGCAAAAGTCTAAATTATAAAAAATAATTAAGATATAAAGATAATTAGATATAAAAAGCAAGATAATATCACATTTGATACACAAATTCAAGTTACGAATACGACCGGCAAACGAGTTAATTTAGGATATCTCGCATCTTCTCGCGGAGTCAATCTTCCCGCGGAGAATGTGCTTGAATTATTTTCACGTCTCGAGACGCAAATATCTCGACGCACCGTGTAATTTTACGAGGCTTAAACGCGGTTACCGGGTTTCCGCAGCGAGTCCGTGCGAGGACCAGACGTCATTTGCATTTTTCGTGAGGATCATTATCCGCGCGGAATCGCCGTCGAGATTAAAGCGACGAGAGAAAAAGAGAGAGAGAGAGAGAGAGAGAAGGAAAGGGGCCGCGTGTGTGCGATCAAATATGTCGAGAAAAAGAGAGAGTTAAAGAGAAAGAGATGTCGAATTCTTGACGATCATTGGTGCCGACAACGGTGCGAACGTCCATAATTCCTTTACGGTACGTCGACTGCACCGGTAAATCGTTCTCTGAACTCTTCGAGCTTCGTTCGAAATGTCGGAGCAAATTTACACGTTTGTGTAAAAACACCGATAGGAGAATTAACGGTAATCAACGTGGAGAAATGTATCTTACTCACGGCATTATCGATCTCGAATTACACGAAATGTTTAATTAGTCTTTTATTTGTAAACCGAGATCTCTGCACTTAACGTAATTTGCACAGTTAACGCGTTATTTTGTCAACTTTTTCGAGGACCGTCTTTCTTTTTGTCAAATATAGATACCGGAAGAGTGTGCGTGCGAAATTTGCTTATGTGTTAGTAGTCGTTTATATTTATACAGGTATTACTTTCACGTGATGTATCTTTATTACGAATCGGTGCACCTGTACATCACGCGCGGTTCATTAGCGCGAAAGCGATTGCGGCAGTGGGTCTCGATTGAAGTTTTTCCACAGAAATCGCTGGGAGGGTGAAACCCCGGCCGCAAAGTCCACTGTGACGCGTCGCGCATAACGATAATGGAAATTACAAACGCCGTCCGTCGGTTTCTCATTCTAGGGGCGACGTGTGCTTGCGCAATATGATTAAAAGAAGCAGATTATCGTTGACGCGAGGGGGCGGTTGGGGCGAAGCGAGGGGTGCTCGAGAAGTGCTCGGTATCGAGCGAAGTATAGACACGAGAACGATCACTTATCGGGCTTTATTAATTTCCTTGATGGGGCCTACTACGTGTGACGGATTGTACGCCGCTGGAATAAAGCGGAATAATGCTGCTGGTCGATCGTGCGTAGCATCGCGGATAAGTCGAGTGTTCGAATATATAACGTGTGCTTTTTTTTTTCCTCGTCTAGTAGTATCACTCAAATATATCAAGATTAGCGCATTTGAAAGTAAATAAATAATACTTTAATCACAAAACAACGAAGCAATAATCATTATAGCGCGAAATATATCTACTTGAATTAATTGAGTAATACGAATGTTGATGATAATTAATTGATAATTGATGTTAAAAAAATATTATATATGAGCATTTTTGTGTGTGTGTGCCTGACTGTGATTGACAACGGACAACTTTCAGTATCGTATTCTGCTGGAATTTTATCGCTGCAGCTGCAACGATCACAAGAAGGCAGTAGTTAGTTTCATATAACGACCGTGTTCTCGTTTGAAGAACGTGCATATTATCGGCATGTGTGTTATCGGCGGGATTATAAATTGTCAGCAGACATCTAACCATGTAGCACATTGCCGTGCGTACAATTATTGCATTTATATATTTTTCTACAATAATTCAATTATTATTAAATATCAAAGATTTATTTATTTCTATATCAAGATTTTATAAAATTATAAACTCTTCTTTCAGTTTTTTGCTTTTTTAATTATATAATATCTTTAGAGATAAACGAATTTATAAAAAAAAAAAAAAACAGCTATTGCTAAATATTGCGTATAATCGATGTGATTAAACTATTATCAATTTTACAATACGTAGATATTTTTAGTGTGAATAATATTGGAGAAAATTAAATTGACGATGATAAGGTTGGATTGGAAGTTTAATTCTAATAAAAGGAACACACACATTGTGTCAGAATATCGCGTCTCAGTCCCACGAGTCTCTCTGTGACAAATCAAATAATTGATATGTACACAGCGCACCGTGGAAAAACAGTACGTCAGCTTGTCACAAAGAAATCGAGAGTCGAGGGTGATATGGGTGGCGAATGTGGTGCGATAATCAATTGAGGCTTTTCTACTAAGATAGTATGAGGTTGAGGGTCTCTCTTTTCTGAACAAACAATCCATCTATCCAAGTATGATTAAATCTAATTTTTGTCGAATCGTAATTTTTCTTTATTTCGGAAGATTATATAAAATGCCTCTCGTGTAAAAGTTTCATTCTTTTTTTCTCGCGTGTATTAAAATTATTTAAATTTACATCTATATCATAAATTATATATTGCGCGATATATTTTCCCGATATCGATGCATATTCCGTCAGTCAGATAAAAGATGTAATAAGTTCTGATATGTATATTTTTTTAGTCTGTCTGAGTGTACTAACAAAGAAAAATATGGCGAAACACGCGAGGCACGTTATATATACGGAACTGACAATGTTATAAGTCCTTCAATCTTCACGCTTTCAAACATGCAGCTGGCTGTGCAGTATGATATTTAATATACTTATGATTGTATAACTGTATATACAAAATTACTGATTTTTGCGCATCATTTTTCTGACTGCGAGAACAACTAATTTCATTTTTCGGTTAAAGCAAAATAGGTTGCGTAATGAGTTTTTAGCAGGTGCGATCTGAGGAGTTAAAAACTTTTTCAATAAGATTAAGAGTTCGAATAGTAAAATTTCCAGTCATAAAACCAACTCTTTTGTGAAAAATTTATTTATTGAAGCTTGTTATGCAGCCTATCTTGTTTTAAGTGAAAAGTGACATTAATTGTTCTTATATCAAGTTACAGATTTATGTCGCACTTTTAAGCAATCATTAAAAATGATCAATCTCTACATAATCATGTTGGCGGAAAAGCTTATCATATTTTATCTCATATAAATATGGAAATAATTTTATTTATTAAAATTACCTGAAGGTTTTTCTTCGGTCAGACCAACTTTAGTCATTATTTTCAAACTATAGTTGTAAATGTTTTTTAACATAAAAGATTTCGTTTAGGATTTTTTTTTTAATAGAAAAATCGATCGCTTTTACTTTGTTTATTTCGTATAATCAGTATGAGACACGAATAGCGGTGCGCATAATTCTTGCCCGCAATCGTTTCGTGCGCAAATATTGCGAACTACACTGACCCGCGACGCTCTTGATTCCTAATCAAATGCATCCGTGCTGCAAAGAGTTGTCGCGCCGTTGTTTACCCTGCTTTACATGCGGTTTGCGTGGTATATCGTAAAAATTTCAAAGCGCAGGAAAGTAAAGCAGTAACGAGTGCTTATTTAACGATAGCGATACAACAGAAGCCATTATCTGGACGTATAGGCGGTATCAGAAACCGCGTTTTTCTTTCTGTGGCAAATTCTACGGTAAATTCAGAAATCTCTCTTTATGAAAATTTAATATTCCAAAATTATCTATGAAAAATTAAAATGTTTTAGCGGATTGCAAATGCGAATTGCTTAAATTCCAAATGTGATAACAGAAACTGTTTATTAATTCCAAATGGAATTGAATTATTTTTAATCTATTTAAACATGGACAACATAGTAATATTTCTCGAAAGAAGCCTGTATAGGTACATTGGTACAATAAAAGATTTTAAGAACTATTATCTTCTTGGCTTGAGATCCTCCTGCTATTTCATCGATTAAAAATTTGCGAGCTTAGTTTAATAATAATTATATTTGCAGTTAAAAATGGCTGGATTACAAAGAGAGAGAAGTATCAATTTTACTTCGGAAGAGATTATAATTTTAATAACAATAATCAAAGAACACAAAGATATTGTGGAATGCACACTAACCGACGAACCAACGTGGCAAAAAAAGGACGAGTGCTGGAATGAAATAACGAACCAATTTAATTCTCACAGTGGAGTGACTCTTCGCAAAAAAGAACATTTAAAATCAAAATACAAAGATATAAAAAAAAATTTTTTTTAAAAAATTGAAAATAAAATAAAAACAATTGGAGAACCTACAAAAATATTTACTTCTGCGGAAGAAATTCTTGCATCGTTTTTGACTTTATCCATACAAGGATACCCTTCTGCTTTTGATTGTGGGTACAAATTAATTTATGTATATAATTTTTAATAATTTATAGCTTTTGTTATTATTATAATGTTAATATATATTTTATATTAATATGTTTTAGATGAACAAAACGTCAGCAAAATTTTTTCGGCGGAGATAAGGGTAGAAGAGGAGAATATACCGATTACACCAACTGGCTCAAACACTTTGTGTACACCCAACTCACACCTGTGCGGTGTACTGAGCCCAAATGAAGCTCCAGTGAGGGACTGCACTCGACCAGCCGAAAGACAAACAAAAGAAGAAAAAATCTTCAAAAAGAAATTTTATTAAATTTAGAAAAAAGAAGAATTAAAATTAATAAAGTTAAGATGTACAATTAAAAGAATTAGAATTAAAAAAAAAAACTTGAATTTAAAAGATTTTTAAATAAAAACTTGTAATTACTCTGATGGATTTTGCTGAAAGTATTATAAAATCAATGAAAAATAAAATAAAAGTTTTTGAAAAATTACTGAATCTATTTCAAAATAAATCATAATTTTTTGTATGAAAATTTAATGTTATGCTGCGAAATATAAGGAAAGTTAAAATATACTGCTGAAAAGTAATAAAAGAGTCTTGAAATATTAGACATAAAATTTACTGAATTAAACTGAAAACTGTGTTACTTTTTGGGGGTAAACAGAGATTATTGCAATCTCATCACACAGTCTTCATGATTCTCAAAAAGTTCAAGTTTCAAGGACAACGTGAAGACAAGGTATGAGCTGAGTTCGAAATAAGTTCTTATTGTTAATAATTTTTAATTGTTATTATAATATTTTAATCAAATATGAAAATTTAATTTATAATACAGAATAATTGTATAAAAATTCCTAATTAATTTCTGAAAATGTAATCATTGTTTTGATTTAAATATATAATTTTGTTATAATAATTTACATGACATAAAAAGTAAAGTCACAAACATAGAAAAGAAAAATTTATTTAGAATAATTATAAATTATGTTTTTGAAGTTTGTATTTATTAAGTCTTCACAATTATTATCATTACTAAATTATAGTTTATCGATTTATTTGTTTTCGATAAATGCCTGAGCCAAAATGCCGAAGATATTGCATTCGGAAATGAAGCAACAGCTGCAGCAGCTGCAGTAAAGGATGACATCTTTATAAACTAATTGTAAGTCGGAAGAAATGTGGAGGACTCTGAAAATCGCAGAAGCAAGTGTGCTCGAGATGTTAATCGCCAAAAATTACGTTTATTCGAGATATTTTGACGAGAATGCCGTTCTATCTATCTCTAGGCTCCCGAGGAGACGCTGTAAATCAAGTTGCGAACTGACAAACTGGAGACTGAAAAGTTCTACTTCATAATAAGTAACAAGACTATTTTTTTTCCTTTGCCGCGTACGAAGGGCAGTCGTGCAGTAAAATATTGATTGTCGCATTAATATTCGGAGGACAATAAAAGTGTACGAAGTAGGCAAGTAGACAAATAGCCGAGAAACACATTGCGCTCGGTACTTCAATCTATCACTTTTTGGAAATAAAATGACTCTTGCATCAAAGAAAAAAGAAAAACTTGGAAATAAAATGTTTAAAATTATGGCGCAAATGTTGTTTACCTTTATTTCTAAAATTTCTATTTATAGATGAAATACAACAATAATTCTTTTTCAAGATATTCAAAATGTAAGAAATAAAATGCATATAGTTGGTGTTAAACAAAAATCTCTTTTTTCTCGCTTTTATTCAAATTACAATTGGAAATAATATTTAAATTAACTACGTTCTGTTCTATAAAAATTTATTAAAATATGGTAAATAATTATTTAAATATAATAAATTTTATCGCAACGAGGATGCGCTGGGGGATGTGGTTGAAGCAAGTCTTCGACAAAATGAAAAGTGCATACTGAGTCTACCGAAGCTGGTCATAATTGTTATGCGACATTTCTTTGCCTTTTTCAATAAGTAAGTTATTTTTCCACCAAAAGTAAATATGTATATGTACGGGATAAAGATGTTATACTGTGATCTCTCTTGAACAGTTTCTTGGAATTCTCGAAGAAGAACATGATGAATCCATACAACTTGGCAGTCTGCTTCAATTCAATATTGATGCCTGTTTCCGAGGACAAGAATCAGGTTCAAGAGTAATTATGACGCTCTGCGAAATTTTTTCGGAGGATATCGGTGCTGGTCAATAAAAAAATACATCAGCAGGGAATCTAACGATGTGTAAATAGAAAATATCATTTATCAACAAGCATTTTATTTTAAGATAACGCTGTAAAAAATATAATAAGAGATGTAAGAAATGCTGCAGTGTTTCGGCTATTCTCCAGTTGTTTCATGATTTTTTGAATTTCTATATTGTTTCGATGTTGACATGATTTATGTTTTAGGAACGTAGGACACTCGCCAACGGATTAGGTACAGGAAAACATGAATTCAGAGGTCTATCCATCCAAGACGATAATGCATTTCTCGAATCAGCACATTGTACTCGAATCGTAATTAACAAACTTATAAGCTGTACTGTAATATCACGAGGAAATTTATTGGCTTAATTGCACCAAGCTACAACAAACACACACACACACAAAACACACACACATACACACACACACACGCACACACAAAGGAAGAGAGTGTGCATGTATGTATGTTTCTAAGTAATCACCATACTTATCACTTTAAGTTAGTTCAGTCTAGGCAATTTTTTTATTCTGATGTAAACTACATAACTTGCACATGCAATTACATGATTTCATCTTTTCTCTCCATTTTCGTTAAACTTCTTAACAGCTAAAAATATTTTCTTAGAAATAAAAATAAAAATCTTGGTAAAAATAAATTTTTTAGTTAAACAACTGCTGCTTATGTGACTTCTATGATATGCAATCTACCCAGTAAGCAGATGTCACATGTCAGCATTCTTTATCTTTTGTTCCAAATTGCATATTCAAATTTTTTCAATGTTTGAAATATACTATGAAACATCTAAAAAGTTTGATGACAAAAAATGAGATTACTGATTGGAGTGCACAAACTAATCTGATGATGTAAAAGTTAAAAAATTTGTGTCTAGGCCACAAACATATCTTGACAAGAATGCTGATTACGTAGAAAATAATTAAATATGTATACTAAGAATATTTTTACTCAATTTTGTAATATTCTGTTTTGTGCTTGTATATTTATTTTTTTGATAGCATAATATTTATCTTTGTAAGGAAAAAATTTTAATCTTTATGATTTAGGTACTGGCAGTGGCTCTCTATCTCATTCACTTATTCGAACAATACGTCCAAATGGTCATTTGTACACTTTTGATTTTCACGAACAACGCGTATTTATTGCCAGTGCAGAATTTGAAAGACATGGTTTAAGCAATTATGTAACTTTGAGAAAAAGAGATATTTGCTTAGAAGGATTTGGAGAAGACCTGAAGCACAAGGTTGACGCAGTCTTTTTAGACCTTTCACATCCATGGTTAGCTATAGAACATGCTACTATTGCTTTGAAAGAAAAAGGTAAGAATGCCTTTAAATTTAATTTCTTTAATCTTTAAAATGTATTGATTAATATTTTTATAACAAAAATATATTGCTATCTACGTGCGAGTATTATGTCTGCAGTGAAGATTACAATACGTAAAGATATAAGTAAACTTAATGATGTAGTTACGCATCGCACAAAGTAAAACAAATTGTATGTTCTGCATATATCTATTATGCAGGATATGTAACATTAACTATTATTTAACAGGTGGAAAACTCTGCTCTCTTTTTCTCCTTGCATCGAGCAAGCTCAGCGTACTTGTGCAAAACTGATCCGTGAAGGATTCATAAAATTAAATACATATGAATGTTTGCAAAGAGAAATGAACGTTCAATATAGATCTTTACCAGTGCTGGATTTGGAATGTCTAAGATACAAGGTTTGTCCATTTTATTTGAAGATACAGATATGTATATTTATAGGATGTCATTTGAAAATTGATCGCTAGTTATCATAGGTTTTTGAAATTGCTGAATTCGAATCTAATCAAAATTTTTAAATCCAATATGACAAGTCTAACAGAATAATGGATAATTTAAAAGAATTCTCTATTCTCTTTCAATTTGATGTATATGAGTTTTTATGGTTATTTAATTCAAAACTGACACCATTTTTAAATTCATGAAAATGTTATTCGTATAAAACAAAAAAATTATTGAATTTTGAAATTCTACTTTGTACATCATATTTAAATTAAGGTATGAATACTTTTTTCGTTTATTTCATTACATTTTACCTCAAGTTTTTCAATTTTTACTCTTAACCTACAAATTTGTATCTTAATTTTTAAATTATAAATTTCTAAAATTCTCTGAAAAGAAAGAACTTTTGCATAAAACCTTTTTCGATTTCCTGACTGTTACATTGGGTTTATAAATTAGGATCACAGAATTTTTATCACAGAGTTTTGAATGTAGCATCCCGAAAAATCCCGAAATACTGTTTTTACATAAATTCGGGGTAAATTAGTTCTTTCTTCATAGAAATTATTTTGAGTAATAAAGCGTTTTTATTTCTCAACACTTAAAAAGGTAGGATTTAAAAAAATAACTAAGCATCTTATATGTTTGAAGATGTTTCTGCATTTTTATAAAAGTTGTTTTTTTCGATAAGAGAAGCTACACAGTATACATCATTGAGACCACTCGTAGATGTGAAACGCGACTCTTCCGCAGTTTCTCGCTTAGATATAAAATGTTAGCGCGACACATATACACACATATACGTAGCGCTTAATTTCCTCGCTCGGCCGTGTGCAAACAATGGCAAGTGATATGGGCCGTTGGCTGGCCTCCCGAGTTGTCTCCTGATTCCTAATCGAACCACGAAGAGCGCCGACCGTTCTGTTTGCACTGCTCTATGGTATATCGGATCTTTCGTGTGTACCCCGAGCGCGCGGCGGCGTATATCTGCCTGGCACCACGAACGATTATTTGCCATGTCATATAGTTCGTGGCGGCCGCGCGCGTACATTATGCGGGATACACGCCGCCGATGACGGCGGTGTGTGCTCTCGCGATCGGTATCGGGTTTGGCCGGCGGCAGCGACGGGCTGTTGTAAGCCTCCTCTCTTCGTTCTAGGCGGGATCACGCTCGGCGCGGCGGTAGGATAATGAAAATAAAGTGGCGGATAAAGAAGCGTGGACGAGCGCGATCGATGAGCGATCTTACGCGAACGTGAGTCTTACCCTTCGGCGACGCTGGGTGGCTCCGAAGGATCGAAAGGGCTCGCGCGGCGAAAAGGTAACAGGTGTGCCCCGTGGCACGATAAATTTCGGGGTGGTGGTAATATTTTACGTCTACAAAAAGTGAAAAATTCTTTTTTTTTTCTTCTTAGTAAACAGTTTTCATGCTAACACCTAATCTCTCGCGTAAAAATCTACTGCCGTGTGAAAAATAAACGTTTAGGGAGACTTAAAATAAGAAGTATTTTTAAAATAGAGAAAAAAAACATCTCTAACGTGATGACGTATGTATAATTTTGCTGTCAGTAATGTGTCGCAATAATTTTCAAGGGAGAAATATTTGAATAAGGATGGGGTTCTATAAAAATGTATGAGAGAAAGAGAGAATAACTATATAAATTTTCTTTTAATATATAAATTCCGTATAAATTCATAATACATTGATTGCTAAAACTCACACAGAGATGTGAGGTTTTTTACGAGATCTAGAAAATAAAAACTTTCGAGGCCAGTGAGGCCAGCTGAGATCTTGACTGATGAAACGTTGCTTAAGGTGAACGTAACACTGTGTAACAGGTGCTTGTCTGTTGATACGTAATATTTCGTTGGCTGTTAGACTGACAGACGATATATGAATTATAAAAGCTTTATGAGTCATTAAGTGAGTTATTAAAAATCTTTGCTTTTGGATTAGTTGGCCTCGATTAGCAAAATATTCAAATAAAAGTTTTGAATTACCAAGTTTCTATTTTTTTTTCATAATACGAGATTTTTGTATTAGTTATAGTATTATTATTTTTTTTTAATTTTGTTTATTTATATTATAATAATGAAAGCATGAATCAAACAATTCAGAGCTGCACAATTCGAAATATTTAGATTTATTTTTTTTTCGTTACTCTTTCTTTCTCTCTCTGATATTTCTATTTGCCAAAAAAAGAGTACACAATCGGTTGTTTGACACATGAATTTTTGGCACGCAAATTTCATCCGGTACCACGTGGATTGCTAGCGTGGTTGCAGCGCGTGCGTTCACGCGCGAGAGCACGTGCACCGTTCGCTCTATTGGCATCAGCAGGTGCAGCGGAGCGATACAGCGGGGTTAGCCGCGACTGCGATCTGTAGCACGCGAATCGTGGCTCCGTAACAAACCGGGTATTCCTTCCGGTTTTTTGCCGAAGAATGATTTTTATGTCCATCTGCTGTCGCGCGTGCCGATACGAGCAACGAATCGGCTACTACATCGGCTATTTCTTTTACGGTAATCCTGATATACGCGCGAACGGACGATGTTATTGCAAAAATTCCCGTACTGAAATATTTTTACGGCGCGACGCAACGGAATAACGGAATTAACGGAGACACGAAAGGATAGAAAGAGCGAATCGGACAAAAGAGTACCGTGCTCTTTTCTATGGAGATTTTTTTTATAGCTTTTGATTCGGTAATTCGATTTAAATGTTCAGTTGTCGTGCTCGAAACTGTCAATTTTTTTGTCAAATTATTTTATTTTGTGAAATTTTCTTGTTTGCATTTTTTTTACATTGTGCAATCGAATAGTTTCTTGTACAGATTTATTGGCATTCTAAGATTGTGACTGTAATAAAGTTATTTTTTTAATTGTTATCTATGTGAAAATGAAAATAATGAATTACTGAGGAAAAGAGAGAGAACGAAAAGAAGTTTTAAAGTCCTAATTAAAATATTATATTTTTTCTATTTATTTTTGTGAAGATTAATCTCAAATATTTATATTTTTCAATTTTGATTAATTTTTTACTAATGAATAAACTTTTTAATACGTTATTTTTGATTATGAAAAAATCTTTGGGTTTTTAAGTATTTTTTTCACACAACTTACAGTTAATCTTAAATCGTAAAATTCGAATTCTAACTTATTTTCTGAACATTGTTATTCAGCATATTATTATTGATAGATGTGGGATGTACTGAACCTATTACGTGCATTTACATTCACTGCAAAAAACGTGACTCACGTTAAAATCGCGCGAATGTCTCAGAAAAATCTCGTTAATGGTGTGGGAGGAGATACATCAAACGTATCAAGTTGCTAAAGTAAGAGTTCAAAAGCTTGTGTGAGCAAAGGAGGAAGATGCGTCAGACTCATCTAAATATCTTCAAGAAGCGCCGCTAATTGCCTCAGAGCTCACACAAGAGCCTGTCATTATGGAATCTCGTAAACACTCGCTTTCGCACTTGCCATTACGAGCGACGAAGCATCTTCGCACGATGCGCTTGCAATTTCGCAAAAATTCCCGCAGCGAAACATTTTCACTTTGCCGCCGCGCCGTTCGCCACTTCGTCATTACTTCATTTATTATTGTTATTATTAGATATTGCTTTTATCTTCGCGAATCTGCGTTTTTTATAATCGCGGAAGGTATAAATCTGATGGACGGGATTGAGCGCGAACGGGAGAGTAAAATTAATAAAACTGTAAAGAGAGGAGAAAATTACTTTACTCGTGGGCACACAATATTGTTAATAAAAGGGCACCGTAATGTTCCGCGTGTGTCGTCGCCGCCGCTTTTTTTCGTTAAAATCGTCGCTTCTCCTGGTTCCTCCTTTTTTTGCTCGCACGAGGAAGGGTCGAACGTGACTCATCATTAAACTCGATATTAAGTCATTATGGAACGTGGTCAACAAGCGTGGTCCATAAACCGCAATTATATTCAATGTTAAGTAGCTGCTACCTCGCATAATGTGTCCTAATGTGCACATAAGTCCGTATCAGAGCATACTTGCAATTAATCTCCGTCCTTTCGATATTTTTAATTTCAAATATTGAGAGCTGCCGATCGTTGATGTTATTGCGAAGGTAAAGAGATTTTTTTAAGTAAGAAGCAGCGCGCTAGTTTTAATTATACTTCGTATTAAAAGCGTTTTAGAATTAATTATTGAGCCAATGTGAGCCAATCT